CCGTCGTACGAAAAAGTAGCTTCTCGCGAGTCTATAGCACTGTTACGCGAGCAACTTTTCACCGCCTCGTATCCGTTTCATACCGAGTTTCAAGTTTTAGAAAAATACGATTCCAACGTTGATTCGTAATTCGTCTCGATACGCGATCTGTTCGCTCGGTTTACAGAGAAGGGTAGTCCAGATTTTGACAAGTTCCTGGAAATTGTGGGCGAGAGGATAGAACTGAAGAATTGGGACAAGTATCGAGGTGGTTTAGACGTAAAAGGTACTTATTTCTTATTTCCGTTCTTATTTCCGTTTCTATGTAGTTAGTAGGTGGTAGCTATGGTTTGAAAATATGGTCGACGGTAAGGTAAACGCTAGTTTTTCATGTTCGTTTGTCGTCGTTGTTATTAGCGCGTGGAGTTTCTTCTTCAAAGTGCGAACTCTCTCTGAACGTTTGCAGGCGACATGACTGGCAACGAGAGTTATTATACGGTGTACGCGGGACACGAAGTGATGTACCATGTGAGTACGATGCTTCCCTATTCGAAGGACAACCCGCAACAATTGGAGAGAAAACGACACATCGGTAACGATATCGTTAACATCATTTACACGGATGACTCGAACGCCATAGACACTTTCAACCCAAACTGCATCAAAAGTCAATTTACCCGTAAGTCGATACGCCATTTATCTACATTTTTTCGATCTAGGCTGAGTTTCTAATATCATTTTTAATCGATCGGTAAGACAAAGAGGAAAGAAGAAAGTAAGATAAAAATATGACGTAATTGTCATTTTGACGAGCTAATGCCTGGTCGCAGCTCCTAAGAATCCCGTAATATAACGACGGTTACATAACGATATACCGTAGACGATACCATTTTTACCGTAAATAACCTGACCCAGCGACCGGCCGGCTGCAAAGCCGCAGACCTGTTTGTCGGTTCTGCTACAACGGGCTACAACGGGCGATGCGCGGCGCAAATTTGCAGCTGGTGGTCGACGAGTTCGCACCTTTGCGAACAATGTGTCGGCCCATTCTCGCAAATACACGCCACTTTTGCGGAGAAAATTCTTTCTTCCAACGTCTTCTTTCACCATCTTCTTGTATATTTTCCTAAGGATTATATTTCCTAAGGTTAATTCGACGTTCACGCGATACATTTACAAATACAGACGTGTTTGCCGTGGTATCGGCCGAAGAAAACGGCAAAGGATGGCGCGTGGCCATTTACTGCGACGAAAACGTTCCTCTGTTTGGCCCGAGCCTTCCATGCCCGCCTGTGTTCGAGGACCCGTACACCCTGCGAGAATTTCTTCTCGTCAAGTTAATAAACGGCGAGAAAGCCACGTTCAACACGCCAACGTTCGCTCAAAAAAGGGAAAGGACCCTGGACGCTCTTCTTCGGGATATGTATCAAGAACACTCGCAGGAGAGCAAGAGCAACGTAAGTCTAGTCGATCAATCATATTTATATGCATTTCCTCCCGCTTTTAGATCCTTCTTTGATAAAGTTGCTCTTACTTCCGACAGTATTATCGGCACCTGTGTACTCGTTCTTATCGAGAATCGAACATCTCTGTATTTATACGTGCTTGCGGTATTATTCGTTGTTACTGATAAAACACGGTTCCATCTATAATATTCTTCGTGTTGAAAATTCGTCAGAAGACTTGTAGCTGGAAACCCAAATTAGGGAAATCCCAATTAGAAGGCGTGTAAGAAATACTTTCGATAAAATGCTGGAAGATTCGGTCAAGCTGCCTTTAATTAGTACGCTGTTTGTAATTGCAATCGCGACTATTTATCACGAGTATTTATCGCGAATTCTTTCGTCTACGCGGATAAAACTACTCGAAATACGATATTTACACAAGCTTCGACACGTTTTCTTGTACCAAAGCTATCGCACGATAACGAGTACGTAAAAGATGATACAACGTGAATTCTGGCTTCGAGCGTCTCTTTTAATAGCGCGTTGCCGTTTTTTGCGTTGCGACATTTCGTCGACGACGTCTCGAACAACGCGCTATCGGAGAACGCGATCGGAGCACGGACAAGCGATAAAATGATCGTGAAAACGGTAAATTGCCACTTTCCTCCGCCTTTGCACGAATTTCCGAACCGCCCGCGTCGCCTGGCGAGCAACGAAAACTGTACGGTATGTATTAGCTGTTGGCGGCACACCCTCCCCGTAGAAAGGAAAATCGATGAAATTTTCGCAGAGTATGTTAAACCGACGAGCATTGTCGGATGTCGTGGAGGCTCCAGGTCGACGTCGCGAGGAGACCCGTGCCGTGGAGATGGTGCGCGTCGGACAGGCCCTGAAACTCGAAGCGATCGTCAGAGGTTTGGCGCCAACTTCCTTGGCCACTGCTGGTCCTTTGAAGCCTAGACCGTGGGAGCCGAGGTGTATCTATCCGGATTTCCCGCACGAAGTCGTATGCGGGGACGTTTGGCTGGATAACAAGCTGATCTTGGCTACCGAGAATGGAACTTTTCTGATCGAAGGTGAATCGAGCCTTATCAAAGCCTTATTTTACCATTACAGGGAATATTTTCGAAAATACGTCTTCTCTTACAAATTGTACGAAACTGTACAATCAGAAAATTGATTTATTTATTAAGCGAAAAGCTCGTTGGCATAAAGGAAGGAAGGAAAGAAAGAAAGAAGATGACGCGTGTATGAAATAACAATATATATGAAATAATAAAATATATAAAAGGAGAGCACTCTCTCCTTCGTCGAGGACAGAGAAAACCGATGCTCTCTCTCTCTCTCTCTCTGTTCCTAACTACGAAATTACAAAACGCAAGAACCTTCCAATGCATTTTCTGTTTCAGACAGCTTATCGCACAGACTGATCTTCGACGAGTCCGTGCAAATTAAACAGCTAGACGTGGTCGAGCAACACGGAATATTGTTGTTTCGAGCCGGTGACAAAGGCAAAGATAGCAACGTGTACGTTTTTCGTCTAAGAGAATTCGAGAATAGCACGACGAGTAGGTCTGCCGAAATTCCAAACGATCGTGAAGACGATCAAGAGTGCGAAGACAATGGCGACGAGGACGATGCGGACGACGACGGCGACGAAAGCGAAGAAAACGATTGCGACAATTTCACGCGAGCCACTACGAAATTTAAGCCCTTGATTCGTCGTACTCGTGTTCGTGTTCGTCCCTTGGCTGTTAGAGGACGAGCGCATATAAAGGAAAGAAGACTACCTAGAACTCGGGGCTGCCATTTATACACCGTTACTATGCCTGGTGGCTCTCACTTGCGCATGGTATGTACCGAACAAGAGAAAAGAAAAAAGGAGAGAGAAAAAGAATAGACGACAGTGGCTTTTCAAATTTTTCCCAAGAATTGAAATTGTCGAGTGGAGAGTTGATCGACGATCGAGTACGAGCAACTTTTATATATATTTTTCCTCTTATTTCGATTTATCGTTTTAACCGAACGTACGCAGTACGTAGCGCGTATGTTTATAAAATAGACTGTATTTGGACAATCGACTCGAGACGACGAAAAACGTTGCTGTCAAGGAAAGGTCAGTGGCGGCTTAACTTTTCGAGTTGTCGACAATTTACGTAATTTCTCGAGTAAAATCCGCTGTACAGATGTAACTCGCGTGGATCGACTGACACAAAGCAATCGTGTTTGTAACGTGTAAACAGACGCGAAAAACGATCGTTGCTTCGCGTTGCTCAAATATTTAAAGAAATTATTTTCGAATTAGCGCTTATACTTGGAATCTATTCTTCTTATGTAATTTTGCTTATTTAAGCTTTGTTTGGACATGGAAGCTACATCCGCTACACTGCTGCGTATATTTGTATCCGATAAATATATCCGATATATATTGATTAAAAGCTCGATAATTTACGATCTTGCTGTCGAAGCTTTGGCTGTTCGTATAAAGATGAGTTTTTCTTTGTTTTTTAACGTAATACGCGTATTGGGATCGCAAACGCTTGAAAATCGCTTGGAACACGATTCGAAGCTGAAAATATCTGGATCGTATGGCGAGTAGTAAGTCGCGAAAGTTTAAATGTGTTTCGTAGGCGAGTGTTTTCCATTGCTTTTGTCGAAACATCGTATCATCGGACTCGGAATTGTCGTAAAAATACTAAAAGATTCCAGACTCCGATCGAATTCGAATCGTCTGCCAATCTATCTGATATATATATATATATTGTATCAGGATTCCAAGATTAAACTAGTATAGTAAAGCTAAACATAGTATAGTATGGTATAGTATAGGTGCGTGTACGATGTATCGAGACCCTAGAATCTACCGGACCGAGTAAAAAGCAAAATTATCTAATCTTCCATTTGTCTAATAATTACTTGAACTACTCGTACGATAGTTATGTATATTTTTGTTAGTAGTAGTTTTGTTCGAGTAAATTATAAATATAGGAATTATAAATATAGGAAATATAGGAATAAATATAGGACGATAATAGAGAAATTCAGATTACCTTGGTAATTCGGATATCGTTTTTTATTTTATTTAGTGCGTAGCGGTCGGCCGACGTTTGATAGTTTTCCAATGGAAACATAGCGCCGCGTGGACCGCATGGTGTTCCGCTACGGACACAGACACCGTGGAAGGATTTTTGCATTTGAAGGAGTTGAACGCCAGCGAATCTCCGACGTTGCTAACGATAGTAGAAAATACAGATTCGAACAACGAATGGACGCTTTGCTGCGGTGTCCGACATCATTTTGAATTGATCTCAGCTTCTGGAAGCACGAGAATTCTTCACATCGAGGGAACACCGAAACCACACGTGGTGGCTGCTTTGGACCTCTGCGAAGACGAAGAACCCGAATTGTTACTCTGCTACAACAGTACGTATTTATATATGTATATAGTATAGACGTTGGAGCAAACGCACCGCTATACGCTAAACCGATCGAACGTATAAAAGTCGTAAAGTAAAGTAAAAAACGTAAAGGTTCTTTGGCCTGTTAGTTACTGTAGTATCTCGTCGACGCGTAGTC